GCAGTAATAAAGGAACTTGTACTCTTGTACCATATGTATTGCGGTATCTTGTTAGTTTGTTGATAAGAAGCATTAGTAAGCACATTAAGTGATCCACAGAGACACATTTGGAGCAAGGACATGACAGAGAGCAGAATGCCTCCTAAAATTATCTTCCAAATCTGGGACAATGATATCTTCAGTCCTGATGATTTTCTAGGTAAGAAGGACCTGATCTCTCTACAGTTATGTTATACTTTCTTTTCTGGCTAACAGACTTGTTGTGGCAGATAAAAGCAGAGTTTGGGTTCCCTGTGGCATCACAACCTCACTCCGGTCTCTCAAAGTTAACAAACAGGCCGCACTTTTCATTTCCTAAATTACCAGCCAAGTACATTGGCTTCTATATGTATTCCTTAACGCGTACATTCTTTTATTTTCTAAAGGTCAATTGGAACTCGTGCTGACAAATATGCCAAAGCCTGCCAAAAGTGCTAAAAAGTGTTCTCTGAAACAACTGAACGTCAGCACAGAGAAAGACAAAAAAAATAAAAAACCCATAGAGACTGTATCGCTGTTTGACATGAAGAGAGTCTATGGATGGTGGCCTTGCATGATGGAAGAAGACGAGAAGTATGAGCTAGCGGTAAGGAATAGAGCGGGTTTTGTGTGAATAGGGAACGTACGGTACTGACATACATGGTACGAGGTCTTCAACATCATCACCACCACCAACATTACCACCATAATCACTATCACTATCACTATCTCTAGCACTATCACTAGCACTATCTCTACCACTATCACTATCACCATCTCTAGCACTATCACTATCTCTAGCACTAGCACCATCACCACCACCACCACCACCACCATCATCACCACCATCACCACCACCATCACTATCACCATCACTAGCACTAGCACTATCACCATTACTATCACCATCACTATCACTATCACTATCATTATCTTCATCACCATCATCATCACCACCACCACCATCATCCTCATTATCATCATCATCATCATCATCATTATCATTATCGCCATCATCATCATCATCATTATGTCTCCGTTACCAATAGTTGCTAGTTGACGCATAGAGCTTAGACTTTTCATATCTCTCTGTCCTTCTCCAGTATGAAGCTCAATCTCTTCTAACGTCTTGCTCATCTCTTTACTTCTCTGACTTAACCATTTTTTATTTCACCGCTGTAGAAATTCCTTTTGAAATATATAAGAATGTAAAACTAACATTTTTTTCTGGATGTTTAAAGGGTAAGATCGAGATGACCCTAGAGATTATTACATCCAATGAGATCACGGAAAAACCGGCAGGCAAAGGACGTTCAGACCCAAATATGAATCCAACGCTGGATCCTCCAAAGTAAGTCAAACTTCAAATGTGTGCATCATGGACTAATCGTTGAAAACAAAACTGCTTCAAATGTCTCGTGGTATTTTAGTTGCGCACAATTTTCTGAGTTTACTAATATACCTACTCAATTCACAGCTATGCATTATACTCATATACATTATACTATACTATATATATACGCATTATACTATTATACTGTTTTTTTTCTCGTGTAGCTGGCTGCTATATATAAATATATAAAATAGCTGTTATAAATCTCGCATTCTTATTGGTTGGGAGCGCATGCTTTATGAGAGCACACAGCACGCACACCTCTTTGTATTTTATAAAAGAAAAAAAAAACTTGCTCACTGTGCTGTGTGGAGTCATGAAGCACTTGCGGATTGGTAGAACACTCGAGAAGTGTCGAGAAGCACTCCGCTACGCGTCGTGCTTCTCCAAACACTTCTCTCGTGTTCTACCTATCCCCGCGTGCTTTATAACAGCCACAGCACGCGCGCGCGTTTTCTATTTCTTCAATATCGGTTTGCGGTTAATACTATTTTTAAGCAAGTAGAATCATACATCGTTATCATTCGTGGCCACATTTTGAGCACACTTCACCTTCAGTTAGTTCCTTTGTAAGGTACATACATTATCATTCACCGTTTTCATATTGACTGATGAGCGCACAAAAATAAGGTCACCCAGTGATCTTGATTGATTGATTATGATATTTATATAGCGCTCTTTTCCATATGGATATTTTCAAAAGCGCTTTACAATGATTTATGAATGAGAGATGGTTAGTATGAGGTGTAGGCACTGAGGGTGGTCTCTGCCAGGGTTTCTACGTCCCTCCACGTTTCTTTTTCCACGTCCTCAGTGGTTCTTTTACGTCCCTCAGATGTTGGTTAGTAAGTGTGGAGAGACGGGACCGCCATTTAAAGTGGTCATCCGAGCCACTTAAAAGTCTAACCCTTTGCAGATGCAATTACAAAGGCAGCACTTTCTCCTCAGTTATTTTAAGACCCTGAGTGTTGGTCCGGCCGGGACTCGAACCACGACCTCCCGCACGAAAGTCCGATGCTCAGGGCTGAGCAAAGCTGTTCATTCAAAATGAAGATGGATAGCATGAATTCAAGCAAAGCAAAAGGGCAATTTTTTATCTTTTTTTCCCCTATAAACGCATTTCATGTGCTTTTATATCTTTTATTGTGAAATGATGACTGGGTGGCCTTGTTTTCGTGCACTTGACAGCCATTACGAGAGTGGCTTATTGTGTCCACGCTCCTCTGCTCTCATTTCTAAAGAAAAGCGTTGTATTTTTTTCTCGTACTCCTTTTAATTCTCCCAGTCTGACTCCTTTACCCAGTTTTTTTATGTTTTTTTGTCCGCAGCCGGCCAGCGACGTCCTTTCTTTGGTTTGCGAATCCTTTGAAAAGCCTCAGATACATCCTCTGGCGGCGGTACAAGTGGTATATCATAGGCTTCCTAGTGTTTATTTTACTGCTAGCAGTCGTGGTGCTGTTCTTTTACTCAATGCCGGTAAGCATAACTCATAGGTTGAAACAGGATTTCCACGTTTGTTTCGAATTCTCTTAAGTCTTTGCCTTGCCTGCACTTACGTTACCCACCATAGCGATCCCTAACCCTAAGGAGAGAGTAGAAAGAATGGAAGGGAAGGAAAAATAAAATAAGAGGTAAATACCTGGGCAGAGGTAAACAAAGCCACATTGCTGCCATTTCTAGAATAACTCTTATACGAAGAAATTAGTGTTAGTATTAAAATTAGCTTTCTACGAAGCCAATATTAGTGACGGCACGCAACGCTCAATCCGCGAAGTTTGGGAGTGAGTATTGCGTGACAACACTAATAGCGGATGTGTTGGACACTACACTAAACCAAGCTTTGAACTTCCTTCGACGGTTATAGCCCCCCCCCCCCCCCCC